TTTGGTTCTTCACCACAGGTGGTATTACATGGTTGTTGTTTTCTGAAGTTCCTTTCATTGTATCACTTAGATCTGTTGCTTCTATGCTTCTTTAGTTGATTATCTTCCTCACTAGTGGGAGTAAATAGAGAACAATGTTCCTTTGCATTGCATTAGACATGAATTAGTTCAACCTCCTTTTTCCCTTGGGAGTTACTCTTTTATCTTTCGACAAATCATTGTCATCATTGCCTTAGGGACTCATAAAATAAAGAAGTTTGTCTTCGCAGTTTGAAATTTTCTCATCTTGTCTAATAACCAATGTAGACAGTGTCAGTTGACCAATAACCGGTGTAGGCATAGTTATTCATGCGCATTCTGATACTAAAGAAGAATTAGAGTCAAAGTCAAAGCCAAACACTCCGGGGTTATTCATCTTTTATTGTTTCTCTGCAGGATATATGGACCGAAATGGGCCGCCCTTGTGGAGTTCACCAAAAACAGGTATGAATGAATTTATTGTTGCTCTTAGAACTATTTATGTGACTTCATTTGAGGTTTAACGTGCTTGATATGGATGGGGTGAGAATCACAGGTTGACCAAATGGTGATTCATTCCGCTTCAGATCTTCGGCCTCGTACTACCCTATGTGGAGACTATTTCTATAATTACTTCACACGTGGGTTAGACATTTTATTTGATGGGCAGGTATTTTATTGTTCTTTATACTTCGTATTTCATACTTTAATCATAATTGGATTTCCATCTCAACTCTTACTTAGTTTATATAAGTATATTAGATACCATTTTTAAAAAATTGTCATGCAGACTCATAAAATAAAGAAGTTTGTCTTGCATACCAACTATCCTGGGCATGCTGATTTTAATTCTTACATGAAGTGCAACTTTGTTATCCACACTTCAGATTGTAAGTTTATTTCTTGATTTGGTTCCTCTTTACAATTTTTGTAGAACTAGTTTATTGGATTTTATATTCCAAATTGCTTTCTCTGCAGTTGGTGGTTCATTTCATAAGGATGTTAACTATAAGCATACTATTACACCGAGTACGAAATGGGAACAAGTTAAGGTAAACCATTTCATCATAAATTTCCTTTCTTCATCATGCACCAGATTTTGTAAGACATTTTTTTTCTCGTGAGGAGTAATTCATAGAATGTAGTGCTACCTTAAACCCTCTAGTTTGTGAAGCTCATTTGGATTGAGAGAACATGAAAATGAGGGAATTACAGGGTTTCTTAATCCGTATGCGTGGGGTTTCACCACATTCTTGGAAATAAGGGAATTTTCCTGTAATTGGAAATCAACAATCTAAACTTAGGCTTAAGTGGCATAACTTTCATTTCAAAATTTTATGTGTACAAGTAGAATAATTGATCTGATTTATTATTGAAGGAAATACTTGGGGACTCTGGCCGCGCTGCTATTCAAACACAAGGCTCTACAAGCAATCCTTTTGGGTCAACATTTGTGTATGGTTACCCAAATGTTGCGTTTGAGGTCAACCACTTGAAAATCACCATAATCATAATCATTTATGTGCATCTATAAATGTATATACTTTGTGCCATCCTAATTCAGCTAATGTACTACACACAGGTGATGAAGAATGGACATATTGCTACTGTAACTCTCTTTCAGTCATGATGATATAAGTGGTGAGTTTATTTACCTAAATAAAAAGGATTATAATACTTTAGTGGTACTCATGCATAGAATGGCCCAGCTTTCGTGGTTGTAGAGTTGAGAGATCATGCTTGGTTGGAGTAAATTTTGTTAAGATAGATGGCTACATGCGATGGGTTTGAGAATATTATAATGACTATGAGTTGATTGTTCTGCATTATCTAAAATATTATCAAATATATTTTTAATAAATAAGATTAAATAATACTTGAATGAGAGTAGCAGACCATTTATTTTCATTTCATCCATTTCAGCAAAAACTAATATATGAACTATTTCTTTTTTCTTTTTTTACTATCAGCCGAGCTAATTAAAATTTGGCTGATACAGTGTGTTTGGAGAGCAGTGAACATCAACAAAGTAGTGGTGGACACGGTTCAATCTCGAACCTAAAAACTAAGAGCCTTAATTTGACCCTAGGTAGGTGGGTTTTGGCTCTTGGTACTGGCGCTTTCGGTTCTGATTCTAGTTCTGACCATCGTTTACATTCTCTTCAAGTTGGTTCCTTTTACTTTATCGGAACTGGAACCTTATACCCCGTATATAACAATCTGATTCTTTGTTGGTGGGTTGTGGTCTGGTTCTAGAACTGCTTGTTCTTTCTAGGATCTGGAACTCTTAGATGGTCAAGATGTTAAATAAAACAAAGCGAGTTGCCAAATGACCTCTTGTATTGTAACACAATGTCATATATTGCATCTTATTTTCTACTAGTCATTTTTTTTTATTTTATCTAGACAAAACATATGAAATGTTTTGCAGGCAGCAGGCCTTTAGGAAAGGGACTGCCTGATTTCTACAAGAAAGCAAGCTGGCTCTCTAAAGTTGACACCCTGTGTGGAAGAGTGTCTGTATAGTTGTGCTCTATTGTATAGTTGCTAATCTGTACATGGTCTGTAATTCATGAAACATGGGTACTTGAATATGTACATATGTGCTCATATATATATATATATATATATATATATTTATTTATCTGTAAAATGACATTCACTTATCAGAGTGGGATGTCTCTTTAGCTGTGTTGATTGGACAGGGAAAATTTCCACCTACTTGTTAGCGTAGTGAATTTGATTGAAATGATTAAGTTGATGAATTTGTTTTTGAAATAATAGAAGCAGCTGAACTTGTTACATAGTTGCATATATTCTTCAGCCTCGCAATCAAGTTTTACTCTGAATATCATACCTATTTAGGTTAGTCCATTTTTGTTTCTTGATCTTTTAACTTTGTATTACTGGAATACTTATTAGTTAGAATTGTTTTTACTTGGATTGGAATTTTATGGTCTTAGCTGGCCTGGTCTACTTTGGTAAATGTTAGATCTCTGTGTATTTTATAATTGTTCAAGTCTGGTTTGGTTTGATAAATGTCAGGTTTTTGTGTAATTGTCCAAGTCTGGTCTGATTTGATGTGGTTTGATTTCAGACTAAAAACAGTCCGAGTAAAAATATCTTTATACTTACCCATGGCTTCATAAAGTAGGGGTATTATATTAATGTTTTTTTAACTTTTTCATAATTTGTTTTAATGAATTGGGAACCCAATTACAGGTCGAACGGAGTTTATTTTTATCAGATGTCCTGAAGGCTTGAAGGGACATGGAATTTTTATTTAAAAAACAATATCCAAAAGTTATTTTTACTTATTTAAGTTTATTTAACTTTGCACCATTTTTTCAAAATCATTAAATTTTGCACTCCACTACTTTACAAGTTTTGGATTGACAAGGCACATGCATTAATAATTTTGAAAATGGAATACAAAGCAAAGTATCAATTAGAACGTGAAGTCAAACTCTTCCGTAATAGTAACGGGATAGTATAAAAGTGGGACTAGTTTTAATAGTTGTAAAATAGTGAACTAAAAAACGGCGGCCGTCTCCCTCTTGTTAGGGTTTTGAGATTTTCCGCTTTCGTCTTCTTCGGTGAAGAGCCACAAGGCTAGAAGCGTAGATGAAGGCAGGTTACAATCCGTGGTCAAGAGATCTTCATCTTCAGTCGGGCAAGATGGGTGGAACGCAAATGAGGTGGGGTGTGGCTTGAACTTTTGTGGGCAAAGAGACATAAGACAACATGATATAGTTTTCTTCTGCACCTCAGACATGGATTTCAATGGCAAACCTCAATGAACAAATTGGTGAGAGCAAATTGACGAATGCAGGAAGGATAGAGTTTCAGACGAATTTCTCGGGGGTTGAATTTCTCTTCTCCCATACTGTAGCAGTTCGTCCTTCTCCGTAACCACCTCCGTGCGAGGAAGCAATTTGAGAAAAGTTCTTATTTTCATATTATTTTTCCGTTAGCATTTCTTGTTTTTATTTCAGTTCGAGCAGGTATGATTGAGGTATTTTGACTTTTGAAGAATGTTTGAGAAGCAGTGTTTCATTTTTGGTCATTTTAGGCTTATTCTTGCCCGTTTTATGTCTAGTGAGTCAAGTTGCTTTGTATCAATACCCGACTCTAAGTCTATTCCTAGGATTTACGATCGAATCTGTAATAACTGTCTGGATTTTATCTTGCATGTTTGCTTTATATTAATATTAATGAAAGTCGTTTTAAGGATAAAAAAAGTCATTTATAAGAATTCAATTGTAATCTATAAATAATACATTTCAAAGATACATTTAGGGAAAGTTTTTGACACATGGCACCTTCTCACGAATCATCCCTACATTCGGTGATCTATAAATAGATTTGGATCTATCACGTGTATTATTATTATTATTCACGTAGAGTAGGTATTTTACCATTAGAACTCTTATTACCGTATTACGTACTTCGTATATTATTATTACTCCTATTAGAACTCTTATTACGTACATTATTATCACTCCTATTACAACTCTTATTACGTACATTATCATCACTCCTATTACAACTCTTATTACGCAGCTATTATATATATTATACAAATCCCAACATCCAAATTACAAAACCCTCTTCCCATTACTTCCTAAACGCAGCCCCTTCACAAGTACGTAGCTATCAACAAATCAAGGCCATAATCTTCAAAAGCACTCCCTGCCATGGCATCCAAGTGTGATCTCTTAACTGCATTATCACCTGCAAAGGAAACCTGGACAATTATTGTCAAAATATTACGTATGTGGTTTCTGGATGACACTAAAAATCCATCAGGACTACCTCTTTCTATGGAATTGCTACTTATGGATGAACAGGTTAGTACCTATGCATATGAACAAGTTCTAATATAAATTCATCCAACCTTGATATGTGCTCCCTATTTCTACATCCCAACAACTTCATTAATATTGCAGGGGAATAAAATACAAGCATCTATTAGGAAGACTCTAATCTACAGGTTTCAGAAGGAACTAAAAGAAGAAGCTGTATATTCAATCAGTAATTTTGGATTTGCTTCAAACAGTGGATCTTTTCGAGCAGCCCGTCATGAATATAAACTAAGTTTCCAATATGGCACAAGGGTTCATTCACTTGATCATGGATTGATCACTGCATCTCCTTTTTCATTCGTTCAACTTCATGAGATTGCAACTAACTACGACCAAGATTATTTAGCAGGTGAGGCGACTTCATTTTAATTACAAACATTCTTATTCCTGATGTTTAGTTATCTCTCTAATGTTTAAAATACTAACAGATGTTATAGCAATGTGCATTGATTATGGTGCTGATAAACCATATGAAAGGAATGGTAAACCAAGCAAACTGAAGGTCATTGTACTCGAATCAAATGGGTAAACTGTTTATTGCAAAATTTACTTATACATATTTCGAAAATAATAAAATTCTAATCTATATTAGTGTATCTAATCTGTGTAATTAATAATGTGAAGGTGCAAGATGGAGTGTGCATTATTTGGACAATATGTTGATCAATTCAACAAATTTGAAGCCTCTGCAGTCTGTAAAAAATTTGTTGTTATAGTTCAACTCGCCAAAGCAAAGACCTGGAAAGGTATGAACATCCCTGTTCTTTCTAACACTTTTAACATTAGTCTTTACTTTTTACATTAACCTTGAAGTGCATGATTTATTTCACAGGTATAATCTCATTGCAAAACGCAATCAATTGCACAAAAATAATATTCGACCCTTCCTGTATCGAAGCGGATGAGTTAAAGACAAAGTATGTGTTAGAATTTCAAATTACATCTAAATTTTGCATAATACTTAATTGTGTAATAATTACTATATACTTAATGACATTATGTTCTTATTCACTATTACTTTAGCACGTAATTTCAATTACTAACTTATTTATACTTAATGAATACACTATATGATTGAAACCAGGTTCTTTCAGTCTGCTAATGCTTCACTCCAAAGCCCGAGTCAGTTGTACACCTCAAGATCAATGAGTTTGGAGGATGAATTTCTCAATAAAACTCCAAGAAAAACCATTGTGGATCTAAAAGACACAACGGAGGTACATTGACATGTAGCTTTTCAATATTGATTTAAGGTTTTAATACTTCAAAATATGTCTTTAAGTAATTACTTATCTATTTATTTATTTTTTAAACAAATATTGTGTGACTCTGGAGATGACTGATGTGACTATTAATATTCATCGTTGTTTTGTCTTCTCAAAGAAAATATTTTGTGTTGTGATCGGGACGATTACTGCTGTTATCGATGGGGACAGTTGGTGGTACAGTGCATGTTCATGTGAGAAAGCTGTTTATCCTGATTCACAAATGTATTTCTGCGAAAATTGCAACAAACATATTTTGAGTGTTACCCCGAGGTACTGACTATTACTTTCCATAAATAAGTATATCTAATAAAATCAATTGTTATATTATTGTTAAGATTCTAAGTGTAATTGAGACATGTATATGATATTTTATGAGTAAAAAATTGTTATAGGTATCGGATCAAACTTCGTGTAATGGATGACACAGATTCTGCCACGTTTGTGCTTTTTGACCGGACTGCTACTTCTATACTAAATAAGTCATGTTCTGCCATGATAGAATCAAGAGATAAGGTTATTGCTTTCATATACTTATTTCAGTACTTCAGTGGTATTTCAACTGTTATTTCAATGCAAACTTAATGTATTATAATTTGTATAATTAGTAACTTATTATTTCAACAAAGCTTCTGAAACTAAGCTCACAGTTTGTATAACAAAATAAGTATGTTAGTTATTTAGTATATTTCAAATTGTTGTATTCTTGAAGTTTGAAATGAACTTAGATCTTCTGATCATATGATATAATAACATGATACATTATATCGTGTTGGTTTTCTATTTTCTTCTAATATGGATGTATAATCTGAGAACAGCTAATAGGATATCTTTCAGTGTGAAATGATTAAAACTTGACTTTTTGTAGTTGATAGTTGCCACTTTAAATTATGGAAGAACAATAAGAGATAATATACAAATATAGTCAACACGCAAATTTAATAACCTTATATAGATTTATAAGTGTGTAATACTTTATAGACATCACAAAACCCATTTGTATATGACAAATATTACAAATGTGTATATCTAAGCATGTTGATTTCATCTGGCTTATAAGGTAATTTATTTCTTTTAACACCAATCCTAATAAGGATTAGTGTATGTCTATATTGTGTACAATTTATATTGTGTATGTCTATATTGTGTATAATTTATATTTTTATTTCTATATTAACTTCATAAATGTATTTGATACCATAGCTTTTTAATATAATATGACTTCATTTACAACAGGTTACTGGCCCGCTATCGACTCCTCCTGATATTATGGACTTAGTAGGAAAATCATTCATATTCAAGATCGAAGTCAAGAAAAATGTTAACCCTCGATTTGAACCATCATATGTAGTTAACAAACTATGCTCTAATGCAGAAATCATTAACAAGTTCAAAGAATCGATCACTATAAAGGTAATAGATATTAGTATTGGTTATGTTTAGTGTACTAACATACACTTAATGAGTACTTGCTCATCTTATTAAATTATTACTAAGCAGGGAGGTTATGGTGATTTAGATCCATCAAATGAGATTGTTCTTAATCCCATTCGCCAGGTAACCAATTGTTTATTTCAAATATGGGCTGCATATACCTCTTTAATTTACTTGAACACTACACCGTTTATTTTTTAAAACACCTATTGCATTATTTACACATATTTTTTTAATAAGATCTTAATGTGTATTTTTTCTATGTTCATTCAGGATTTGACACCTAAATTTTCAGAAGTTATCGAAAATAGTGAAATGGGAAGCAGTGGAGGACCTTGCATAAATTTAACCCAAGATTCAGACAACTCGAACCACACAAAAAAAAGACCATCTGAAGAAGACGCGGACGAGGCAGATAAATCAAGTTCTAAAGTGTTGAAAACAAACATAAAGATTGAGAAGAATTAAAATTATCATAGTCTTGGATGTTAATGTTTTTTGTTTTTGATTTTTATTACACAATAGTTTTCGGAATGTTGCTAATAACTCAATCATTTGTTTTAATCAATTTCTGTTTTCCTTTATTTCATCATATTCATGTTTATTACTAACTCATCACATGTCTTCCTCTATGTTCGTTGTTGTCATGAAATTAAGGAAAATACTTTATGGAACTATTAGTTATAAACAATAATGATGTTTTGTTATTACATTATTACTATTATAAATCTATAAATAAAAAATACAAATAAAATAACGATTTCAAATAATAATGAAGCATAGAATAATAACGATTTCAAATAATATAACTTAAGTTATTTTAATTCATAATATTTATTTTAATATTTTATATTTAGTTCTTCTACGAAGTATTACATGTTAATCATAATCAGAATAATAAATATATTATTAATATACAGTACACAGATGAAATTATAACTTAACATTGTGTGGCATCTATATTTTAAACTTTTTTAAAAAAATTAATCAATAATTACTATTACTAATCTATAAACAAAATAAACTTTTTTCGCAAAATCCGTCCACATTATATGTTTTCACGTTATTATCATTAATTTATTATTATTATTAGATATGACACAAATTTATTATATTTCTGGCAAAATCTATCCAAGTAATTAACAAACAGTTTCCTAATATCTATTGGACACTGTTCTTGATCAATAAGAAAACGAAAATCACCTGATATTATGACACCACTTCAGGACTTAAATATATAACTTAAATTTTCGGTATTTGTAATATTTATTCAATTTTTTTATATTTAGTTGTTATGTTGTTCTACGGAGTATTACATATTGATCATAATCAGAAATTATAACTTAACATTGTGTAGCATCTACATTTTAAACTTTTTTAAAAAAAATTAATTGATAATTACTATTACTATTTATCAACAAAATAAACTTTTTTCGCAAAATCTGTCCACATTATATGTTTTTACGTTATTATTATTACTTTATTATTTATCATCATCATCATCATTATTATTATTATTATTATTATTATTATTATTATTATTATTATTATTATTATTATTATTATTATTATTATTATTATTATTATTATTATTATTATTATTATTATTATTATTATTATTATTATTATTATTATTATTATTATTATTATTATTATTATTATTATTATTATTATTATTATTATTATTATTATTATTATTATTATTATTACATATGATACAAATTTATTATATTTCTGGCAAAACCTATCCACGTAATTAACAAACAATTTCCTAATATCTATTGGGTTCTTGATCAATCAGAAAACGACAATGATTTGATACCTATTAGGACACCACTTCAGAACTTGCTATAAGAACCACCACATCATGACACTATTCTCTACAAGTATTTCAAACCTGAAATACACTTAAAACTCCACGAATCATTGTTTTATTAGGATAGAACTTCAGTACTTCAACTATGTTATAATCACATACCTAGGGTAATATTTTGCCACCGGCCCATGTACGGTAGAAAAATAAGAAGCATATCAACCTAGACCAAGCTTTCCCCATCTGCTGCAAGAAAAACCACAGTTCACAATAAAAGTGAACGGTGATGGATCCAGATCAGTTCAAGAATGCCAGGATGAGAAGGAAATTAATCATCGACCAGAAATTACACAGACGTAGTTCTTTTGATAACAATCTCAAACTTCAACGACCACAAGACCACGCATCGACAGCAAATAGAAAAAATAGCATAATAATCAATCTATCACCATCTCCTTCAGGTGAGTACTGTACGATACGAATTATATAATTAAGTTATAAAAGTTCAATTTATTGAATTTAATCCATACAAATAAATCTAACCTGAATTAGAATCACCTTAGCACTCTCAGATTTCTAATACTCTAATCTGAATTATATCAATAAATTATTTTTTACTCAAATTCACTCTTGGTCGGTACTATTACCACGACTTACGTACTTAAAGTTAAATTAAATTTAGAGTACTAATAATACTTCATTATATTTAATTTCCAATTACTTACAAGTTTAAAATCAATATTGATATTCTCATCATAGAACCACTTTATCTGCTAACAGAATTTTTATGTTGAGGCATCTTAATTGAGCGTATATTCTACTAAACAATATTCCATTAGATTAGTGCTCCCCGTGTCATAACAACATACATGCCCTCAAATGCTGCCAACAGCATATTTAGACCAAACTTTCACCGTTTTCTAGAAGTGTAACTGCAATCAAACGAAAAAGAAGACAATAATGGATCAATATCACTTTAAAAAAGCTAGCATGAGAAGATACTTAATCATTGAGAACAAATCATGTAAACACGCTAATCAAAACAAAAACAAACTCAACCACAACAGCCACAAAACCATTAATTCAATGAAAACAAACAAAATAACCATCAAATCAACTATAAATTGACAATTATTTACTCATTTAGATCATTAATCACTATATCTGATTAAATTGGAAAATCACTAATTAATGCTATTATGGACATGACTGAAAACCTCAGGTGCACAAGATCAATCTGAAGGACTGCCTACAAATGGTATTTTCTTACACTCATTTTTAATATCTGTTTGATACTGTTTTTCCCTCAAATAGATATGAATATTGATTTTATATCCATATTAATGCATATTACTATTCTTCAAATAGGCTTACTGTTCCGCTCTGAAGGATATCTACAAGCCGAAA